GTTTCCTGACTTTTTAGTGATTGCCATTCTAACTGGTGTGAGATGGTATCTCATTGTGGTTTTGCTTTGCATTTCTGTGATGATTAGTGATGGTGAGCATTTTTCATGTGTCTGTTGGCTGCATAAATATCTTCTTTTAAAAAATGTCTGTTCATATCCTTTGCCCGCTTTTTGATGGGGTTGTTTGATTTTTTCTTGTAAATTTGTTTAAATTCTTTATAGATTCTGGATATTACCCCTTGGTCAGATAGGTAGATTGCAAAAATTTTCTCCCATTGAATGTACTTTTTATTTTATTAATTGAATTGACTTACGGGATTTCTGTTTGGTTCTTTTCTTAATGATATCTATCTCTTTAATACATTTCTCATTCATCTGAAAATTGTTTTTCTGATTTCTTTCTATTGGTTATCTGTGTTCTCTTCTACCTCATTGAGTTCCTTTAATATCATTATTTTCAATTCTGTTTCAGGCATTTCAATAATTTCTTTTTCACTGAAATCTGTTGCTGAAGAATTATTGTGTTCTTTTTGAGGTGTCACATTTCCTTGCTTTTTCATGTTTCTTGTGTCCTTATGTCTGTCATATTGTGTAACAGTCACTTCTCTCAATTTTGTGGATTGGCTTTTATAGGGCAAAACATTTTCCTGAAGATGCTATCTATGATGTTGGTTGGATAGGGCACTTTTTAAATTAAAAAGAAAATTTTTTTTGGTGGAGACAGTGTCTCACTGGGCTTTAACCAAGGCTGGCCTCAAATGTCTGATCTCAAGTGATCCTGCCACCTTCACCTCCCAAAGTGCTGGGGTATAGGCATGAGTCACCATGCCTACCCTGGGTTGGGCATTTTAGCTTTGATTCCGGGTGTATGCAGTGGTATATAGCCTCTGTATAATTTTTTTCAGCTATAAACAGTGTCAGTGATGTCCGTCATTTCCTCAACGGCTTAGGCTGTAGTTGCTGGTGGATGCTGCTATGAGGCTTCGCTGGGGACAGAGACCTTGAGTCAGTCCTTGGCCTCATTAGTGACAGCAATGGCTGAGCATGCCTATCCGTGGGCCCCTAGGGGATATATGTGAGCATCAGGATTAGTGAGTCCAGGCAGGCTAATCTTTGGGCCTCTAGGTGGTTTGCCTGAGTGCTGGCCATGGTGCCAGCAGGTAGGTGTGTCCTTGAGCCACCAGACAGTGTACATGATGTGGGCAATAAAAGTCGCAGTGGTGAAACAACCCACAGGCTCCCAAGTGGCATGCACTGGTGTTGGTAGTGGCTGCAACTGGCTAGCTGAGTTCATCCTCCTGGACCCAGGAAGACTGCACAGATGCCTATGGTGGTGGATGGGGCAGGATGAGCCCGTGGCCTTTGGGTGTCATGCTTTGGTGCTGGTGGCAGGTTTCTTGGCCTATTGTGAGGTCCCCTGGTGATGTCCATGCATGCCCAAGGCAACTGATGGGGCAAAGTAATCCCCAGGCCCCTGGTTGGCATTTTTGCGCACTGGTTCCAGGCTGAGAGGGCTGGTTCTCAGATCCCCCAGTGGTATGCATGGGCACATGCTGTGGCAAGCAGGGTGGGGAAATCCTCAGGACCCCAAATGGTGTGCCTAAGTGGCATTAGCAGCAATGGCAGTTGGCAGGGAGAGCCTGTCCTCAGGGTGCATGCAACTGTGTGGCAGTCTTGCCACTGGGTAGGATTGAGTTGCTCTCAGTGGCTGTGGCCCCAGGAGAGTGGCTCTCAAGCTCTGGTGAGCACACGCTTCAGCCTCTGGTGGTGGTGACAGATGATGAGAGCTTGTTCTCAGGGCATGTGCAAGCGCACAGTAGCCCTCCTGCTTATGGGGGCAGGGTTGCAGCAATGGCAATGGACTCAGGCATTCTGGGTTTTGGGTACTTCATGCTTCAACTCTGTTTGTCCCAGGGGCAGCCTCTCCAGTGTGCTGTACCACCCGTTCTCCAGCATGTTGAACACTTGAGCACTAGGGATCCTGCCACACTGTTGGACCCCACTAGGACTGCACTTCTGCAGCCCACTGCACAGATGCAGGGGGATGTCAGTGGGGCTCTAGGAGTGGAAAGGTAGGGATGTTGGGCCATGCCAGCCTGGCCAACATGGAAAAAGCCCATCACTACTAAAAATACAAAAATTAGCCGGGTGTGGGGGTGCATGCCTGTAGTCCCAGCTACCTGGGAGGCTAAGGCAGAAGAATCACTTGAACCCAGGAGGCAGAGGAAAAAAGGCACTATGCCGCATCCACTTGGTTCTCACCATGTGTGTGTGACTCAGCATGAGCTCTCTCTTTAGAGCAATGCCACTGGTCAGGGCCTGTGAGGGTGGCTCTCCCATGGCTAGGATTGCAGCACTCTATGGTGGGAATGTGGACTTCTGGGGACTTCTCACTTACCCTTTTCTCACACTGGGGAGCCTCTCTGGACTTTATCAATCCTAGTTAGGTCAGCTGCCTCCTTTCCCTTTCCTTCTCTGCCTCAGATGTTTCCTGTTAATTCTCTGCTGAATTCTAGTATTCCTGATTAGATGATCTATTTGAAATATGATTATCAATTCTCAAATTTGTTTTTTTGTATGTATTGAAAGAGTGCCAGATATCTTTAAGACAGCCATCTTGGAGCCCCCTTTCCTGTCATTTTTTTTTTTAACTCCAATACATCACTTCTGTCAACTATCGCCTGTGTGCTAACATTCTGGAATATACTACACGTCCATATTTTAAAGTCCCAGCAATAAAATTCTGTAAATATTTTTTATACAATTGCTTTTTATATCAATTAAGAGTTAAAATTAAGAGTAGAAAGAAGTGAAGGAAGCATTTATGTGGTCTTTCAGAGTTACAGAATTCCTTTAACCCATGTTCATTTTATGGGTTCAAGTTAGTGTCAGAGGTCAATGGTTTTCAACCCGGAGAACACTGTATTTCTTGGAAAGCAGTTCTGATAGGAATAAATTTTCTCATTTAAAAAAGCCTACTTAGAAATATCTTCACGTCACCTTCATGTTTAATAAATAGTTTTGCTGGATATAAGATTTTTGGTTAACAGTTCTTCATTTAGCTCTTTGAATGTGCTGTCCCAATGCCTTCTGGCCCTAATAGTTCCTAATGATAAGTAGTCAGTTTTTAATTTTAGTGGGGTTCTCTTTACATCATGTATTAGTTTTCTCTTGCTGCTTTTAAGCTTTTCTCTTTATCTTTCAACATTATTACTATGAATGCGATTATAGATTCCCTTGTGTTTACTCTACTTAGAATTAATTGAGCTTGGATGTGTAGACTCATTTGTAATTAAACATTTTTCAGAAAGTTTTCATCCATATTTTTGCTGCTCCTTTTTCTGTTTTCTTTCTAGTGTTCCTAATACTTTAAGTTTTTTAATTCTTTCTTTGGACAGTTGAAATGTACTTGAACCCCTCTAGTAAATTTTGCTTCCAGTTTTTGTACTTTTTAACTCTGTAATTTCCACGTGGCTCTTTGTAAAATATTTTCTATCTCTTTGTAGATATTTTCTATTTGATGAAACATTGTCATAATACCTTCCTTTTCTTGTTAGAGAATGGTTTCCTTTAGTTCTTTCAATATATTTATACTGACTGCTTTGTAGTCAGAATGGCTCAATACATCCTGCACTGTGAGGCCTCTAAGTCTAACAGCTAGGATTCTCATAAGCTGTTTTTTTTGTTTTTGTTTTTTTATGTTTTTTTTTTGCCTGCTTTTCTTCTGTGTATGGGTCATACTTTCTTCCTTATTAGAATAACTCACATTTTTATGCTGAAAACTGGGCATTTTAGACACATAATGTAGCAACTCTTAATTTTGATTCTTCTCCTCTTCTTCCTGGGGTATGTTATTATCGTTTGCTTATTTATTTGTTCAGTGATTTGGCTTGATTATTTTACCGAAGCCTATTTCCCCTGTGATGTGGTTTGTATGTTTTTCTTGTGCAAATCACATGTTGAAATGTAATCCCCATTGTTGGAGGTGGGACCCTGTGGGAGGTGTTTGTGTCACGAGGGCAGATCCTTCTTCTCCATGGAATGGTGCTGTTCTCACAATAGTATATGAGTTCTTGTGAGATCCAGTTGTTCAAAAGTATGCAGCACCTTCCCCCTTTTTTCTCCTGCTCCTGCTCTTGTCATGTAATGTGCCTGTTCTGCTTTACTTTCTGCCATGAGTAAAAGTGCCCTGAGGCCTCCCCAGAAGCCAAGTAGATGCTGGCACTATGCTTGTACAGCCTCTTTTCTTTATAAAGAACCCAGTCTCAGGTATTCCTTTATAGCAACCCAAGAATGGCTCAATACATCCTGCACTGTGAGGCCTCTAATGTTCCTCCAATAAAACAGCCTTGGGCATGCAACAATCACCTCTGGAAGACAGTGGTTTTAGAGGGTCCCCTTTGAGTATGTCTTTTGCTTATTTCTCTATTCACCTGTCTGCCTTCCTTTGTATCACACCAGGGATCAAAGGCTGTTTTGCCAGACACTGCTACTCTTGTACCAAAGGCAGTAGCATAATATCTGAACTATATTACACAACTAAAGGATTCTGCCATAGTTGAAAGATTACTATGCCTAACATTTTAAAGTACAGAGGGAATTTTTAAGAATAAAATAACTGTCTTTTTCCCTTACTTATTGCACTCATCAGATAGCCTTTCTGCTTTTGCAACTTTAAAGTAACTTTCTATCTAAACTGTAAATAGAAAGGGACTAAAATAACTTTGAACATACTTGTCCCAAGTATATTCTAAGCTCACTATACTATATTATTTTGTGGATTACTTTCTAAATGGATAAGTCCTAAAAGTAATAATATCTAGCTAGCTTTACATTTCTAGTAAATATGTTCTAGAGTACAACCAAATATGGGAGGATATTCACGAGAACCTGTGCCCATGTCATAATAACAAGTGGGTACTATTGCTATTAAAGATACACACTTAAACTTTGAAGGAGAAAAATAAATGAGGAATATTAGACTTAAAATATTTTCTTACCAGGGAAACTCTTTGACTGTGTCTTGAATTCATCATTTAATAAGCGTCTTCCCAAAGCACCTCTCAAGCTTTCTATATCAGTCTCTATAGAAATAAATAGATTTAAAAATACTTAGCAAGGTAATCCTTACATAGGAATGTGAGGGGTGTGACAGAGAGAGAGAAAGTGTGTGTGTGTGTGTGTGTGTATGTATGTGTGTGTATTAATCAGCCTTTTTTATTAATGAATAAAAGTTATAGTGAAATGTCTGAATTGCCAAATCACTAAACATTAGGAGTGTAAGGTCTGTTAGTAATCATATAAGCCTTAGTGTATTGAGGCATAGAGATGTATAGTGATTTGACCAAGACCACATATCGAGGTGATAACAAAGTTGTTGCACAAATTGATGCCTCACAATACTTTAACAGTGCTTTCCCCACACAATGTTATCTCTAATGCAAAATTAAAATATCCTACAGAATTTATGATAATAACATGACTTTAAAGTTTACGTTGAATCACATTCATACCATAGGGATATACCTGGTAAGATGAAATATAACTTTTTTTCTCACCTAGCAACTTGAAAACAATGATCTTCATAATCGCAGGAAATTGTTATAGTGCGAAATACTTTGACTCATCCAGAAATATTTTAATGCGATTTTTAGGTTAACTTTAAACTAAGTAAGCATCAGTGATGGAAAATAATAAGATATCTTGTAGATTGAGGAAAACATGCCCTCTTAGGTCCCCTTACCATGTGGACCTCATAGCTTAGGATATGATTAAATTTGCAGAAATACAAGAAGTAAAATTGGGTACTTTTCCATTTGAGTTTTTACATAATTTGACTTTTTTGTTGGATTTGGTAGTCTAACCATGTTTAATAACAGGGAAAATACCTGAAAGTTATTAAGGAGGAATTTATGTTAGAAAGGGTGATTAGGATTGATGAACTAAAGTCAACTACTGGGACTAAAGTTTTGTCAGTGAAACCTAGTTCCAGCAGCACATGTGCCTGCTAGAAACCTGTAAACACTGGAAACTAAAACCAGTTGTTACCTAGACATAATAGATGGATGTCTTTTTATTTTTTGAGAAAGAGTTAAAACATTATTCATGAATAAATGTTAAAATACTTGAAAGTTATTAATGGGAAATTTATATCAGAAAGTAGTGATTAGGAATGTATATCATACTATATAATTTACACATTTACAGTGTTCAATTAAATGGTAGTTTCAATGGTAGGAGGGGACAAACATCCAAACCATATCAAAAACATACTGGAAGAGGGACACACAAATGAAAAGAAGAATATAAAAAGCCACCACTTACAAAGCTAAGAAATAACATAGAAAAAAATACACAAAACAATTAGAAGACACCAAATTAACAAGAACAAATTCTTATCTATCAATAACAATCTTGAATGTAAGTGGTTTAAATTCCTGAATTAAAAGACATAGACAGACTGAATTGATAACAAAAAACCAAGAAGCAACTAGGTGATGCCTACAAGAAATTCATTTTACCTGTAAAGACAACATAGACTGACAGTGAATGAATCGAAAAAGATTGTGCACACAAATGGAAACTAAAAGTTCAGAAATAGCTATACTTACAACAGACAAATAGACTTTAAATTTTAGAAAGGAGACAAAAAGATTAGTATATAATGATATAGACATCAATCCAGAGAGAGGATATAACAATTATAAATATATAAAAACTAGCCCTAGATAACCCAGTTCTAAACAGAAATTATTATTAGAGCTAAAGAGAGAAAGAGTCCCCAATACAATAATAGTTAGAAACTTCAACATCCCACTATCAGCACTGGATATCATCTAGACAGAAAATCAACAAAGAAACATTAAACTTAAACTGCACTATATATCAAATGGACCTAATAGACATTTACAGAACATTTCCTGCAACAACTAATGAATACATATTCTCATCATTGCTCTGCCTTTTGGCTAAGATCAAGTACAGAATACACATTCTAGGGGTCCAGTGGTGTGGGGCCTGTCAAGATATTCCTTCTAAGGTGAAGGATAAGTTGCTGCATTTGGCCCTTCCTACAACCAAGAAAGAGGCACGACCCCTAGTGGGCCTATTTGGATTTTGGAGGCAACCATTCCTCATTTTGGCATGTTACTTTGGCCCATTTATCCAGGGACCCAAAAGGCTGCCAGTTTTGAGTGGGGTCCAGAACAGGAGAAGGCTCTGCAACAGGTCCAGGGTGCATTGCAAGCTGCTCTGCCATTTGGGTCATATGACACAGCATACCCAATGGTGCTGTCAGTGGCAGATAGGGATGCTCTTTGGAGACACTGGCAGGCCCCCATAGGTGAATCACAGTGGAGCCCTCTAGGATTTTGGAGCAAGGCCCTGCCATCTTCTGCAGATAACCATTCTCCTTTTGAGAGACAGCTCTTGGCTGTTACTGGGCTTTGGTAGAAACTAAACATGTGACTATGGGTCATCAAGTCACAATGCAACCCGAACTGCTTATCATGAACTGGGTGCTTTCTGACCCATCTAGCCATAAAGTAAGTCATGCATAGCAGCATTCCCTCATCAAATGGAAGTGGTATATACATGATCGGGCTCGAGCAGCTCCTAAAAGCACAAGTAAGTTACATGAGGAAGTGGCTCAAATGCCCATGGTCCCCACTCCTGTCACTCTGCCTTCTCTCCCAGCCTGCATCAATGGCCTCATGGGGAATTCCCTATGATCAGTGGACAGAGGAAGATAAGATTGGGACCTGGTTCACAGATGGTTCTGCATGATACGTAGGCACCACCTGAAAGTGGACAGCTGCAGCACTACAGCTCCTTTCTAGGACATCCCTGAAGGACAGCGGTGAAGAGAAATTTTCCTAGTGGGCAGAACTTCGAGCAGTGCACCTGGTTGTGCACTTTGCATGAAAGGAGAAATGGCCAGATATGCAATTATATGCTGATTCATGGGCTGTAGTTTGTCTGGCTAGGGTCTTGGAAGAAGCATGAGTGAAAAATTGGTGACAAAGAAATTTGGGGAAGAATATGTGGATGGACCTCTCTGAATGGTCAAAAACTGTGAAGGTATTTGTATCCCATGTGAGTGCTCACCAACAGGTGACCTCAGCAGAGGAGGATTTTAATAATCAAGTGGATAGGATAACTCGTTCTGTGGACACCACTCAGCCTCTTTCCCCAGCCATGCCTGTCATTGCCCAACGTGCCCATGAACAAAATGGTCATGGTGGCAGGGATGGAGGTTACACATGGGCGCAGCAACATGGACTTCCATTCACCAAGGCTGATCTGGCTATGGCCACTGCCAAGTGCCCAATTTGCCAGCAGCAGAGACCAACACTGAGCCCTCTATATGGCACCACTTTTCGGGGTGATCAGCCAGCTACTTGGTGGCAGGTTGATTATATTGGACCTCCGTCATCATGGGAAGGGCAGAGGTTTGTCCTCACCAGAACGGATACATACTCCAGTTATGGGTTTGCCTATGCTGCATGCAATGATTCTGCCAAAACTATTATCCATGGACTCGTGGAATGCCTTATCCAGCATCATAGTATTCCACGTAGCATTGCCTCTGACCAAGGTATTCACTTTATAGCTAAAGAAGTGCAGCAGTGGGCTCATGCTCATAGAATTCACTGGTCTTACCATGTTCCCTATCATCCTGAAGCAGCTGGATTGATAGAATGGTGGAATGGCCTTTGGAAGTCACAATTACAATGCCAATTAGGTGACAATACTTTGCAGGACTGGGGCAAGGTTCTCCAGAAGACTGTGTGTGCTCTGAATCAGTGCCCAATTTGTGGTACTCTTTCTCCCATAGTCAGGATTCATGGGTCCAGTAATCAAGGGATGGAAGTGGAAGTGGTACCACTCACCATCAACTCTAGTGACCCACCAGCAAATTTTTTTCCCTTTTATTATTTATTTATTTTTTAAATTATGTTTTTATTTTCATAGATTATCGGGGAACAGGTGGCGGTGGTTATATAAGTTCTTTAGTGTTGATTTGTGAGATTTTGGTGTACCTATCATATAAGCAGTATACACTGCACTCAATTTATAGCTTTTTATCCCTTACTCCCTCCCCATCCTTTACTCTTGAGTCCCCAAAGTCCAGTGTGTCATTCTTATACCTTTGCATCCTCATAGCTTAGCTCCCACTTATGAGTGAGAACATACAATATTTGGTTTTCCATTCCTGAGTTACTTCACTTAGAATAATAGTCTCCAATGTCATCCATGTCACTGCGAATGCCATTAATTCATTCCTTTTTGTGGCTGAGTAGTATTCTATCATATATACATATTATATATGTATGTTATATACATATATACACACACACACATATATACACACACACACATATATATACACATATCACAGTTTATCCACTCGTTGATTGATGGACATTTAGGTTGGTTCCTTATTTTTGCAATTGTGAATTATGCTGCTTATAAACATGCATGTGCAAGTATCTTTTCGTATAATGACTTCTTAGAACAATTCTGAGGTCACCTTGTTTCTTCCCCATCTTAAGTGGATTGTCTTTTAAATTTTGTTTGGAATTTTTGGAGGAGAGGGTAAAGTCTGATGTCCCTAGAATTCTGTATGTTTAAAATAATTTTAAAAGGCCAGTAAATTTCACCAGGTTATTTTTATATGTTATTAATTCCCAATTTGTCCTGGTATGTCTTTTCAACTTACAGATTTGGGTCATCCATTATTTTAAAAATTAATTATTCAATTATGCCTTATAATATATTGTACATTTTATTTATTCTTCTTCGGGAATTCCAAATATTGAATTCTGGGAAATAGATAGAAAGTGTGAAAAACAAGTGCAAAGGCCCTCTGATGGGGTGAAATACAAAACATTTGAGAAACTGAAAGAAGCATTTTGGGCATGGCAAATAAATATCATTGCTTCAGTGAAGTTTCTAAGATTTCCTATTCTCTTTAGGAAACTACATTGCTAAATCCATTTATCTGTATTTTTCTAAGGTAGAATTTACCAAAAAAGGATACCCATACTATATTTGGGAGATAGAAGATATGCCATTATCCTTT